TGTCCTGACATTTGGGGGATATCTGTCCTGTCCTGACATTTGGGGGATATCTGTACTGTTCTGACATGTGGGGGATATCTGTACCGTCCTGACATTTGGGGGATATCTGTACCGTCCTGACATTTGGGGGATATCTGTACCGTTCTGACATTTGGGGGATATCTGTACCGTCCTGACATTTGGGGGATATCTGTACCGTCCTGACATTTGGGGGATATCTGTACCGTCCTGACATTTGGGGGGATATCTGTACCGTCCTGACATTTGGGGGATATCTGTACTGTTCTGATATTTGGGGGGATATCTGTACTGTCCTGACATTTGGGGGATATCTGTACTGTCCTGACATTTGGGGGATATCTGTACTGTCCTGACATTTGGGGGGATATCTGTACTGTTCTGACATTTGGGGATATCTGTACTGTTCTGACATTTGGGGGATATCTGTACTGTCCTGACATTTGAGGGATATCTGTACTGTTCTGACATTTGGGGGATATCTGTACTGTTCTGACATTTGGGGGATATCTGTACTGTTCTGACATTCTTGGACCTCAAGAAATTAGATTGGCCGTCAGTACTTCAGGATTGATCAATATTCAGATCTATACCATAGTTTGTGAACTCTATAACTTTCCTACAAACTAAAAAATCCATCCTAATTTGGGTTATTTTCACCAAAGACATGTAGCAGAATACATCTTGGCCTAAATTTATGAAGAACAATTATTTATTTGCAAACTTTTGTAACAGAAACAAAAAAAAAGTGTTTTTTTTCTAAATGTTTGGTCTTTTTTTGTTAATTTAGCAAAAAAATAAAAACCCCGGCGGTGATTAAATACCACCAAAAGGAAGCTCTAGTTGTGTGAAAAAAATGATACAATTTTAGTTTGGGTACAATTGTCATTCAAAATTTGAGAGCGCTGAAACCTGAAAACTGGCCTGGGCAGGAAGGTGTAAAATTGCCCGGTATTGAATTGGTTAAAGACACAATCAGTGTCACACAGGGACTGTATCTGTGGCTGGCAGTGGCCGGGTGACAGTTGCAGTGAGTGGAGGATGATGGATCCACACTGTGACAGATCCCAGGCTGAGATTCCCCAGGCAATGGGGGGAGATAAAACGCAGACAGCAGGCAGCTGAACTGAGTGATCCCACACAGTGGCAGATCTGACACAACACACCACCACCGACACTGACACAATTCAGCAGGCACTAGAAGAGCAGGCTGTGGGATCGTGATGATGTCATCACTCACTGACACATTGCACATGTGATGGATGTCTGACCGGCCGGGTCACACTCACACAGATACGAGACATCAGGTCAGACATTACCTTCCTCCGTAGGCGTAGCTCCGCCATTGATAAATGGGAATAGAAGGGCTGGAACTCCACAGCGATCAGCAGCCACAAGACAGCGTGCAGTAAGGGACTGCATCTGAGAGGAACACTTGGCACCTTTCTTGGAATGAGTAGAATAGTCTGTTTATCCACTTAAAGGGACTTTCTTTATTCCTAGTGTTTGGGGACTTTTTGTGCTTTTTTCATGTTTTTAATTTTAATATTAATTTTTCTATGAAATATTTGGACACTTTTTGAGTATTCACATATTAATTGATGGTATCATATATTTATTTATGAATTGGTATTGACATCATTTATTGATGGTATCGACTCATTTGTTTTTAGTGCAAAACTGTAAATCCTTCATTTTGGTTTTATTCCATCACAAGTGCGCTCTCATCCCTTTGCTGGTGGCCAAGCCAGGAGTCCTGATTTACACTCCATCACTCCCAGCTTATGCCTAGCACATATTCACTGTTTTATGAACCACTTCCAGTCCGGACACTTTCCCCCCCTTCCAGTCCGGACACTTTCACCCCCTTCCAGTCCGGACACTTTCCCCCCCCTTCCAGTCCGGACACTTTCCCCCCCTTCCAGTCCGGACACTTTCCCCCCCTTCCAGTCTGGACACTTTCCCCCCCTTCCAGTCCGGACACTTTCACCCCCTTCCAGTCCGGACACTTTCACCCCCTTCCAGTCCGGACACTTTCACCCCCTTCAAGTCCGGACACTTTCACCCCCTTCCAGTCCGGACACTTTCACCCCCTTCCTGTCCGGACACTTCCCCCCTTCCAGTCCGGACACTTTCACCCCCTTCCAGTCCGGACACTTTCACCCCCTTCCATTCCAGACACTTTCACCCCCTTCCTGTCCGGACACTTCCCCCCTTCCAGTCCGGACACTTTCACCCCCTTTCTGTCTGGATACTTTCACCCCCTTCCTGTCCAGATACTTTCACCCCCTTCCTGTGCGGACACTTTCACCCCCTTCCAGTCTGGACACTTTCACCCCCTTTCTGTCTGGATACTTTCACCCCCTTCCTGTCCAGATACTTTCACCCCCTTCCTGTGCGGACACTTTCACCCCCTTCCTGTCCAGATACTTTCACCCCCTTCCTGTGCGGACACTTTCACCCCCTTCCTGTCCAGATACTTTCACCCCCTTCCTGTCCGGACACTTTCACCCCCTTCCAGTCCGGACAATTTTCAGCTTTCAGCGCTATCACACTTTGAATGACAATTGCGCGGTCATGCAACACTGTACACATATGAATGTTTTAGCATTTTTTTCAGACAGATAAAACTTTATTTTTGTGGTATTTATTCACCGCTGGGATTTTTATTTTTTTGCTATATAAATTAAAAAGTCCAAAAATTGTGAAAAAAAGTGTTTTTCTTATAAAATTTTGCACATAAATAATCTTTCTTCATAAATCTTGGCCAAAATTGATTCCGTTATTTTTAGTAATAAAAAATAACCCAAATTAGTTTATAACCAAAAATGATAATTTTTTCAGAAATTTTTTTGACATTTTTATTATTTTTTTATATTATTATTTATGTTTTTTTTTTTTTTTGTTTTTAACATACTGTCACCCTAGCAGTACAGTGTTACCATGGTGACACTGTACTGCTTGTGGGGGTGACGAATATTTATTTTGGTTTTTTTTTTACACTGATTGCTTTTACACCCACAAAGGCTGTAAAAGCAATAATTTCTCCTCTCTGACTGCATTCTTCCAGCCATTGAGAAATACTGTGTGAGCTGTGATTGGTCACAGCTTGTCACATGGTACAAGGCTGTTGTGAATAGCCCTGTACCATGTGATCTCTGTGATCATTCACAGATTTCACACGTAGTAAGCAATGATGTCAGAAGTGACATCTTGCTTACTACTCTGCATGTGATCACTGATTGGTCAATCAGTGATCACATGATCGGGACCTTACACAGATGTCTCGTACAGTGATCGCTGTTCCACTGTGTCCGGAGGACACAGTGGGCATCGGATTGCGGTGCTACACGCTCCCATGGAGTGTGCACAGGCAGGGAAGCGGGGAGGACGTTTATAAATGGCCGCCGCTCCTGCACTGCTCCCGTCTGGCTGTTTACATGCGGGAAGTGGTTAACTAAAAGTGTGCTCACATGAAGTCACATGACCCGGGACGTAACGCATAGGGGCGGATCCTGTGACGCACATTGGAAGTGGCGATCTGAGCGGTCCTGGCGGTACTACATGTGGTTTTAAGATATGATGGCCTGTTTTGAATATATGGAGTGCACTTTTAGTCGATAAAACTGTGAAAACGACGAATATTCACATACCACACCATGAAGGCTGTTCCTTTCTTTTGACATGAATGTTGTTGGAGAGATATCAAACGGCCTGGTAAGCAGTGTACAAGCCTCAGAGCAGGGGTGTCAAACTCCATTTCATGGTGGGGCCGTATCAGCATTATGGTTGCCCTTAAGGGCCGGTTGTATCTGTAAGACTAGATGTCCAGAGCACCCCACCCCCCATTACATCAGATGTCAAGACTCCCACACCCTCCCTAACATCACCAGGGGCAGAGCTGGAAAGCAGAAAGTGCAGGGTCTGGAGGAGGACCAGAGGAGGAGTGGAGTCAGTTACCAGAGTCTGCTGATTGCTGAGACCAGGGGAGGCAGAGATGAGGGTGCAGATGCACTGAGAGGTGCAGGATTTGGCAGAGGAGTTCTATTCTCCTCTCTGCTGCCGACTGCTGAGACAAGATGGGGGCAGAGACCAGCGGGTACCTGCAGGAGAGGTGCAAGGGCCACATGAAATGGCCTGGAGGGCCAGATCCGCCTTGTGTTTGGCACCTGTGCCTTAGAGGGACCTACACCCCAATTTTCTTTGGATGACATACAAGTGGAAGAACAGTGATTTTGGCGTAAGGAAGCTCCAGTGAATACATAAGCACTCTATGACCTTGGTGACACGTGTGCTGTGAGTGCACTTGCAGCACTGGAATCCTGGGAACAATTCACGTTTTGGGATATGTTCACACACAAGGCTATTGATCTGAATATGGATTAAGTGGATTGATGGAGAAGAAAGGGGAAATTTAGAGATGTTATTTTACACTTACACTTTATTACTATATATATAATGTTTGGTGATATTTTTGGTGATTGTATATATTTATATGGTTTTGGTTGTTTGTCCATCACTTGGAGACGAGATACCCGTGTGCGGTACATATAAGGACATATGAGTACATACAGTATGGTATGTAGGGTAGGATAGCAGATAGTACAGCAATATATTCTTTAATTTTGAATGTTAGGATGTGTGGCCTGCAGGAAAGCAATGTTAGAGTATACAGCAGGTGGAAAGGCAATGTTTGATGGTACAGTATGCAGGAAAGCAATACAGTGTACAGTGTGCAGGAAAGCAACAGAGTATACAGTGTGCAGGAAAGCTACAGAGTGTACAGTGAGCAGGAAAGCAAGACAGTGTACAGTGTGCAGGAAAGCAATAGTGTACAGTATGCAGGAAAGCAACAGAGTGTACAGTATGCAGAAATGCAATAGAGTGTACAGTGTGAGGGAAAGTAATACAGTATACAGTGTGCAGTAAAGCAATAGTGTACAGTATGCAGGAAAGCAATAGAGTGTACAGTGTACAGTGTGTGTAGGAAAGCCATACAGTGTACAGTATGCAAGAAAGCAATAGTGTACAATATGCAGGAAAGCAACAGAGTGTACAATATGCAGGAAAGCAATACAGTGTACAGTATGCAGGAAAGCAAGAGAGTGTACAGTATGCAGAAAAGCAAGAGAGTGTACAGTATGCAGGAAAGCAACAGAGTGTACAATATGCAAGAAAGCAATAGAGTTTACAGTATGCAGAAAAGCAATAGAGTGTACAGAATGCAGGAAAGCAACAGAGTGTACAGTATGCAAGGAAGCAATAGAGTGTACAGTGTGCAGGAAAGCACCAGTGTACAATATGCAAGAAAGCAATAGAGTGTACAATATACAGGAAAGCAACACAGTGTACATTATGCAAGAAAGCAACAGTGTACAGTATGCAGAAAAGCAACAGAGTGTACAGTATACAGAAAAGCAACAGAGTGTACAGTATGCAAGAAAGCAACAGAGTTTACAGAATGCAGGAAAGCAATACAGTGTACAGTATGCAGAAAAGCAATAGAGTGTCCAGTGTGAAGGAAAGTAATACAGTGTGCAGTAAAGCAATAGTGTACAGTATGCAGGAAAACAATAGAGTGTACAGTGTGCAGGAAAGCAATGCAGTGTACAGTATGCAGGAAAGCAATACAGTGTACAGTATGCAGGAAAGCAATACAGTGTACAGTGTGTAGGAAAGCCATACAGTGTACAGTATGCAAGAAAGCAATAGTGTACAATATGCAGGAAAGTGACAGAGTGTGCATGAAAGCAATAAAGTGTACCGTATGCAGGAAAGCAATACAGTGTACAGTATGCAAGAAAGCAACAGAGTGCACAATATGCAGGAAAGCAACAGAGTGTACAGTGTGCATAAAAGCAATAGAGTGTACAGTATACAGGAAAGAAATAGCGTGTACAGTATGCAAGAAAGCAATAGAGTTTACAGAATGCAGGAAAGCAACAGAGTGTACAGTATGCAAGAAAGCAATAGCATTTACAGAATGCAGGAAAGCAATACAGTGTACAGTATGCATGATAGCAATAAAGTGTACCGTATGCAGGAAAGCAATACAGTGTACAGTATGCAAGAAAGCAACAGAGTGTACAATATGCAGGACAGCAACGGAGTGTACAGTGTGCATGAAAGCAACAGATTGTACAGTGTGCAGGAAATCAATAGTGTACAGTATGCAGGAAAGCAATACAGTGTACAGTATGCAGGAAAGCAATAGAGTGTACAGTATGCAAGAAAGCAATAGTGTACAATATGCAGGAAAGCAACAGAGTGTACAATATGCAGGAAAGCAATACAGTGTAAAGTATGCAGGAAAGCAATAGAGTGTACAGTATGCAAGAAAGCAGTAGTGTACAATATGCAGGAAAGCGACAGAGTATTCAGTGTGCATGAAAGCAATACAGTTTACAGTATGCAGGAAAGCAATACAATTTACAGTATGCAAGAAAGCAACAGAGTGTACAATATGAAAGAAAGCAATAGAGTTTACAGAATGCAGGAAAGCAATACAGTGTACAGTATGCAGAAAAGCAATAGAGTGTGCATTATGCAAGGAAGCAATAGAGTGTACAGTATGCAGAAAAGCAAGAGAGCGTACAGTATGCAGGAAAGCAACAGAGTGTACAATATGCAAGAAAGCAATAGAGTTTACAGAATGCAGGAAAGCAATACAGTGTACAGAATGCAGAAAAGCAATAGAGTGTACAGTGTGCAGGAAAGCACCAGTGTACAGTATGCAAGAAAGCAATAGAGTGTACAGTGTGCAGGAAAGCAACAGAGTGTACAGTATGCAAGGAAGCAATAGAGTGTACAGTGTGCAGGAAAGCACCAGTGTACAGTAATGCAAGAAAGCAATAGAGTGTACAATATACAGGAAAGCAACAGAATGTACAGTATGCGGGAAAGCAATAGAGTGTACAGTATGCAGGAAAGCAACACAGTGTACATTATGCAAGAAAGCAACAGTGTACAGTATGCAGGAAAGCAACAAAGTGTACAGTGTGCAGGAAAGCAACAGAGTGTACAATGTACAGGAAAGCAACAGAGTGTTCAATATACAGGAAAGCAATGTTAGAATGTGTGATATGTTGGAAGCAATGTTAGAATGTGTGATATGTTGGAAGCAATGTTAGAATGTGTGATATGCGGGAAAGCAATGTTAGAATGTGGGCTGTGCGGAGAAGCAATGGTAGAATGTATATTTTTTGGGAAAGCAGTTAAAAGAATGTGCAGGACATGGCAGTATATGGGGAGGCAAGGGTAAAATGTGCAGTGTTCAGTGATACAATGTTACAATGTATGGGATATTTAATAAGACTGTTAGGCTGCTCAGTGAACGGGGAAGCAGCCACTTCCACCAGCTCAAAATTTATGAACGCATTCAATTATTTTTAGATGAGGTTTTGTGTGCGAAGAAATGAATGACAGCAGACAGCTGAAGGACACGTTGAGGATAGCCAGACATTATGGACAAGTGCCAACTAAGGAACAATGTTGGAGAACTAAGGGAGGGATGGGATAAGAGTCAGTGTCTACTAAATGTACTAACTCCCCCCCCCCCCCCCCCTTTCTCTCAGGTCTGGCTGTGGTTCCATCTACTGCATTTTCTATTCTTTACTTCTTTCAAGCACATGTTCTTCACTTCCTCGACCCCTACACCCCACAAAGTCTCACCACCATGGGGCAATACGCCCAACATCCTCTCCCCACCTAGCTGCCCACCAACATTTACACACCTCCTTCCATCCTACTAAACAACCCTCAGGAAAGTTCCACATTTCCAGTCCTCAGCTTGTTTTCCCCATAGTTCAGTCACAGAATGTGCCACCAAAGATCACATACTTCCCCCACAGGAATACCCAGCACCCCCATCAGCAATCTGTGCCCACACGGGGCAAACGTCAGTCTGAAGCGTCCAGCCTGTTCTTCCCTGCTGCCCTGGAAGGAGCAGTTTCTTCCTTCGCAATACCCTTGGGCCATCTTGTGGGACCCAACCGTCTCAGATGAGGAAGGGGCACAAAGTTCCGCTTCTTCCACCCCTCGTCCTTACTACCATCATGAATGGGGCTTGTTGGAGCACGAAGAACCAGCACGAGGACTGGACCTGAAAGGGGTACCTACCACTCTGAGACCTCATGGCTTTCCTCCACTACAAGAAGGTCAGTAGTGTGTTAATAAAGTGTCAAAGTCTAACATCATACAGTCTCATACATCAGTTTTCTCTCTTTCCTCCAGGGACAGACCCTCAACTTTACGTCACCATTGTGATCTCTGTGCTTATTGTGTTGGTGGCTACTGGCATAATCATCAAATTCTGGTGAGTATATGAGCATTCAGCTGTCAGATAACATTATGGTCATCAAATGCTATCTGTAGTGAAGAGCTTAGCAGTGCTGGAAACATGGCTTTATATCCCCCCAGGGACCTGTTCTTCCCATTATTGCGTGAATTTGCTCTAGTTCATTTCCCGTTGTATAATGCTTGGTCAGTCAATTGATAGTCCTTGATTTTGTCCTTGGGAGGCTGAAGGACAGGGGAGCATTTGCCCCTCATACCAGTAATAAGTTATGGTGGACTGAAGGCCCTAAGTGAAGATGATTCATCATTTAGATAGCAGACCGTAATCTGCAGTTAGTAGCTTATGCTGGGTGTTATATACAGTGAAGGAAATGCGTATTTGATCCCCTGCTGATGCTGAATGTTCGCCCCTCACAAAGAAATGATCGGTCTAAAAATCGAATGTTCGGTGTATTGTAACACTGAGACAGAATAGCAACAACAAATTCAGCAGAAATGCGTGTCTAACAAATGATGACTGATTTGCATGTTCATGAGGGAAATAAGTATTTGATCCCCTATCATTCAGCAGGATTTCTGGCTACCAGGTGTCTTTCATACAGGTAACAAGCTGAGATTAGAAGCAGTCTCTTAAAAGGAGTGCTGCTAATCTCATTGTGTTACCTGTATAAAAGACACCTGTCCACAGGAGCAATCAAACCATCAGATTCCAAACTCTCCACCATGGCAAAGACCAAAGAGCTGTCCAAGGATGTCAGGGACAAGATTGTAGACCTACACAAGGCTGGACTGGACTACCAAACTATGGCCAAGCAGCTTGGTGAGAAGGTGACAAAGTTGGTGCAATCATTCACAAACTGTCAGTCTCCCTAGGTCTGGTGCACCATACAAGATCTCACCCCGTGGAGTGTCAATGATCATGAGAACAGTGAGGAATCATCCCAGAACTACACGTGAGGATCTTGTCAATGATCTCAGGCAGCTGGGACCACAGTCACCAAAAAAAACAATTAGTAACATGCTGAACGTTTGAGTTGCCAAACATCAACCACCAAACCTTAATGACTTGGAGAGGATCTGCCAAGAGGAGTGGGCCAAAATCCCTCCTGAGATGTGTGCAAACCTGGTGGCCAACTTCAGGAAACGTCTGACCTCTGTGATTGCCAACAAGGGATTTGCCACCAAGTACTAAGTCGTGTTTTGTGAAGGAGATCAAATACTTATTTCCCCCATGAACATGCAGATCAGTCATCATTTGTTAGACATGCATTTCTGCTGAATTTTTTGTTGCTATTCTGTCTCTCAGTGTTACAATACACCGAACATTCAATTTTTAGACCGATCATTTCTTTGTGAGTGGGCAAACATTCAACATCAGCCGGGGATCAAATACTTATTTCCTTCACTGTAGCTACCTGCTTCCTGTTTAGACCTATGATTAAAGCATCTGGCAGAGGTACGCCCTCCAGTAGCAACTTCCTTTTGCAGCTCTGACATATCATATGAACGAACGTCAAGAGCCTCAGAACAAGCTGATCTTGTGAAAAGGTGTCTCAAAATAAACCATGTCCTTTAGGAACACCGCACCTACAATGCAGCAACCTGGCACACTTTGCACAAAATCTGTTCCTACCATGAAAGGGCTAGTTGGTTGTGTTTGCCATCTAAGCCGTAGGTTCCCAGGAGTTTCTCCCCCGGTGGTAGAGACATTAGAGTGTAAGTTCCTTTGGGGTGAGAACAGGTATAAATGGTTCTGTGAACTTTGTAACATGCTGCAGTATATGTTGGTATGGTATTTATGGGCAATAGTGATGTTTTGAAAACCTTGCTTCTATGTATACCGTAGCTTGTAATGATATATGTGCATGGTGTAGAGCAGGGGTGTCATACTCCATTTCATTGCGGATCGCATCAGCATTATGATTGCCCTTAAAGGGCCGATTAAATCTGCAAGACTAGATGTCCAGAGCACCCCCCTTTTATATCAGGTGTCAAGAGTCCACCTCCCCATCAGAAGTCAAGAGATCCTTTATACCACAGTGAATCCCCCTTACCTTGTGCTGCTGCCAGGAAGAAGCTGGGGGCGGAGCTGATAAGCAGAAAGTGCAGGATCTGGAGGAGGACCAGAGGAGGGCTGAAGTCAGCTGAATGCTTTGACCAGGGGAGGCAGAGGCAAGGGGATTCTGCAGATGCAGGAGAGCCGCGAGGGCCACATGAAATTGACTGGTGGGCCGGATTTGGCCTTCTGTTTGACACATGGTATAGAGATTCAGCCTGGGGCAGGGTTAAGAGAGGATTAACTGAAGAGGGCAGGTACTTCCCCTTAAGGCCTGTTTATTAAAGCGGACCTCCACCCAAAAGGGGAAGGACTCGGATTGGCATCTTTGGGGAGCTGGTGGCTGATTTTGACAGGTACCCGATCCTACTTCTGCTGCGACCGCCTAGGCCAGGGGTGTCCAAACTATGGCCCTCCAGCTGAAGTACTACAAGTCCCATCATGCCTCTGCCTCCAGGTGTCTTGCCTGTGGATGTCAGAGTCTTGCAAGGCCTCATGGGACTTGCAGTTCCTCAACACCTGGAGGGCAATAGTGTGGACACCCCTGGCCTAGACAATCAGAAGTGGACATTGTCCTCCCCCTCCCTCCCCTTAGTCTTCTGGGACACGTGACAGGTCTCAAAAGACTATGGGACCATTAACAACGTGAACAGCCTGTTTATTAAAGCGGAGCTCCACCCAAAAGGGGAAGGCCTCAGACTGCCATCTTTGGGGAGCTGGTGGCCGATTTTGACAGGTACCTGCTCCTACTTCCGCTGCAACTGCCTAGGCCAGGGGTGTCCAAACTATGGCCCTCCAGCTGTTGGAATACTACAAGTCCCATCATACCTCTGGGTGTCTTGCTTGTGGATGTCAGAGTCTTGCAAGGCCTAAGGGGACTTGCAGTTCCTCAATACCTGGAGGGCCATAGTGTGGACACCACTGGCCTAGGCAATCAGAAGTGTAAGTTGTCCTCCCACTCCCTCCCCTTAGTCTTCTGGGACACGTGACAGGTCCCAGAAGACTATGGGACCATTAACAAGGTGAAGCAATACTCGTGCATGCACAGTGGGCACCGGGCTGTGCCCACACTTAAGATGTCAGCCCTGGGGAGAGAGGACAGCCAGTGAAACTGGCTACGGTGAGGACACCGCTGGATTAAGGGACAGGTAAGTGTCTGTTTTTCTAAAGTCCACAGCTACAGTTTTTTGCAGCTGCTGACATTTTTTTTTTTGTTTTGACTGGAGCTCTGCTTTAAGCAGCTGGTCAGAGAGGCTGGCTGATAGCAGTTGGCTGTTTGTAGTGAGGGGATCTGGACGCTACCTGGAAGTCTCCATGCTTTAACTTTGACCCGCTGGGTGAGCTTGCCATTAATGGAGACTTTGAATCACTGTGTATGCTGTGTCTGGGATGCTGAAAGTTCTTCATGTGAGACTGTGTTGTGCTGATGGAAAGATTTATCTGTTGTGTTTAAACTGATCTTGAAGACAAAGCCTGTCACTTTTCTTTGGTGATAACTAAACCGGATTTTAAGTTTATTGAACTGTCTGCCAAGAGCCTGTTTCCCCCTCTGATCCCGACAACTGGTGGAGGATGCGGGCAGTGTGAGGGATCCAGATCTCCTCGCTACAGACAGCCAACTGCCATCATTCAGCTTCACTGACCAGCTGCTTAATATACAGGCCTGAAGGGGAAGTACCTGCCCTCTTCAGCTAACCTTCTCTTAATCCTGCCCATGGCTGACTCTCTACAATGGGAACACCCATATTTGCTCACACCATATCAGGCTGTGCTATCTGATCAGTGATGAACTCTAATGTCTTTAGTAGCTTTAGTGTTGAGATATCCCTACCACAGTTCCATGTTTTGCCCAACATCTGCTGACGTTACAAAGCCAAATAAGGTGTCACAATCCCCCGCTAGAATCTCCATAAATAAAATAATTGTTAATGTCAGCTGTGAGAGAGCGGCACTTCATTATGGCCTTGTGGGAGGTGGACAAGGCGCAGACTACGGCAGGCAAACCTCGCTGTTGGGCTGTGCAGATGTATGAAGCAGATGATTCATCCCTGCCACGTAAAACTGAAAATAATAAGCTGAATCGCCCACTGGTTTATTAAATGTTTCGGTGTCTGGAGCATTGAGAAAACTGGTCCAACGTTTTGAGCAGGGTCATAACTATGTGTGATGGGACCCTGTAGAAAAAACATTAAGGAGGCCTCTCTAATCTGTATCTCAAGTACAATGCATCTGGTGATACAGAATACCAACTGTTTTCATAGCAATTGCGTAGAGCCCTGATGCCCAACCTAAAACCCGAGGGCTACATGCGGCCCCTTGATGCATGCCAGTTCTTTGGACCTCAGCAGTCAGTAGTGAGATCATTCGTTTGTAAAGGAGCTGTAATATTAGAGATCGCTAGCATTCTCATGTAATATTCCCATTTTTTTATAGTCTTCTATAACTTGTCATCAGTCTCCACCAAGATCTGTAGCATATTGTCTCTGACCAACTCTAGTAGAATATGAGGTATGACAATTTTATTCCTGAAATGGACTGGAAAAATGCTTGCCGACCTATACACTAGTGACTGTTGCCATCTTCAAATTAGTCCCCTTGTGAAGTGACGCACTTTTCTAGATGACTGCGCCACTTCTGGAAATATTTCTGGATTTTTTTTCCTGGAACGCTGTGCAGTATCTTGGTCACGGTGTTCTGGATGTCCGGAATGTCATCAAATCTGTGTCCTTTTAGGCTAGGTTCACATATGTGCGGGTGGTGCCGCTGCGGAACCGCACAAAAATCTGTGCAGCCGCACCACCCGCACAGAGGAATGCGGACCTGCAGGCAGATGCCATTAATTCTAACTGGAAATCACAACCGCACTGGGAACCGAGGTTCCTGTGTGGGCTGCGGTTTCCAAAGAAGTGCAGGGGCACGGGAGTCCATTCAAATGAATGGGCCCACAGGAACGCATATGTAAG